GTAAAAGCAGAGCCAAGGAAATTAAATGTTTCTTGTGTCTGCTGTAATCAAGCTACTGTCTAGCTTGATGTATTAGTTGCTTTTATAGGGATGGACTTTTCATCATTTGCCCTCTCCCTCAACAACCAACTGAATTAATACTGCCTCGATTAGATTCTCTGGGTTTCCCTCGCTTTTGTTGGACCAATTTCTAATTCCCATTATCTTTCTTTACTATTGTCATCTTTTAATCCTCTTATGGCCTAAACTGACTTTTTTGAGTGAACTTTGTATAACTCTACTGTGATCTGTTGTTTTTGCACCGGTCAGAAAACAGTATTTATTTCCAAGTTTAGGATGGAGTACGTTGGAACTTTTTGTTCACACTAGTTCCTTTCTGATGGTTGAATTTAGATGTGGTTTACTTGAATGTTTTCACAACTGCTGGTCTTTATGAGGGGCTTGCAACCAAGATGTTGTAGCTAGTGCTCTGGATGATGTTGCTTTCAGGGGCATACTGTTGCATATGAAACAGTACTTGGGTAACATATCATCTGTTTTCTAATGCAGTAGTTTCTAGCTTTTTTTAACAGGATCATATTTGAAAATTAGACATCTTTGAGTTGACCCTTGAAAATAAGTGATTGCAACTAATCTTTCATAAGTTTAACATGTCCCAGCTGAATTCTGCAGAGTATAAAAAGCTGGTCATTTTGGCTTTAAGAGAAAGTCAATAACCTTTTTCCAAATTCAAAAAGCATTTTACTTTCAACTCTTGAATTTCAAGATTAGAAATTTGACAGTGTTTTGTGAAAAAAAATTTTTTTTTAAAGATTTATATATGTATTTGAAAGGCAGAGTTACAGAGAGGCAGAGAGAGAGAGGGAGGGAGAGGGAAAGGGAGGGAGAGAGGGAGAGAGAGGGAGAGGGAGGTCTTTCATCCACTGGTTTATTTGCCAGACAGCCACAACAGCTGGAACTGCGCCGATCTGAAGCCAGGAGCCAGGAGCGTCTCTTGGTCTCTCATACAGGTGCAGGGGCCCAAGGACTTGGGCTGTCTTGTGCTTTTCCAGGCCATAGCAGAGAGCTGGATTGGAAGTGGGGCAGCCAGGACTCGAACCAGTGCCCATATGGGATGCCGACACTGCAGGAAGTGGCTTTACCTGTGCTACGCCACAGCACCAGCCCCCTGAGTAAATGTTTTGAATATATGAAGACCCTTTCACATACTCACAATTGTATTAATTAACTCTTGTTAGGTCATAAAATGACATTATATGACGATTTAAAAAATTATAATTTTATTAGAAAGGCAGAAAGCGAGCTCAATCTTCCATCTGCTGGTTCGCTCCTCAAATGTCCCCAACATCCAGGAGCCCGGATCTCCATCGAGTCTCTCTTGTGGGTGGCTGGGACCGAAGTACATCATCTGTTGCTTCTCAGATTGCTCATTAGCAGGAAGCTGGATATGAAGCCAAGGAGCTAGAACTTGAACTCAGGCACTCTGACATAGGACATGGACCTCCCAAGTGGCAACCTCACTTTTGCAGTAGCATCACAGTTTTTAGGTCAAGAACCCAAGCATGGTTTTGTTAAGGGTCCCTCACAAACGGTGTTCAAGATTTTAGCTGGGGCTACATTCATCTTAGAACTTGACTGTGGAAACAGTTGGCTTTCACAAGCTCACTTATAGCTAATGACAGGATCTAGTTTTTGCACATTTAGATTGAGGTTCTTGTTCCTAATGAACTGTTGTACAGAAATCTCTCATTTCCTTGCCATGTGTGGACCTCTCCTTAGGAAGGCTCACATCATAGCCTCTGTCTTCTTCAGAGTGAACAAAGAGGTCATGAGAGAAGAATGTGAGTAAGATACAAATCAGTCTTTTATAACATCCCCTGTACTTGTCTTGTGTTACTTATTAGAAGCAAGTCAGTAGATCCAGCCCTCAGGCAAGGGAGGGGATTTAAGCTTTTAGGAGTCATTTCAGATGCTGCTCTCCACAATAATCAAGGAATGTTAGGTGAATTTGTTTTAGGAAAGAGAAGTGTTAGGTTCTGTGTAAGACCCAGAGACTCCAAGAGCTTTGCTTAGCTTCCTTCTGTCTCTGCCAAGATACCTTGGTTTGGTCTTTTGCTTTCATTCCAATTTGCAGAGTCTCTTTGCAACTCAACCCCCAATGCGCCCCACCTCCCATGCTGCCACCCTTCTCACCCACCTCTTTCTTTATTTCTTCCAAACTTGCCTTTTCAGTCACTGCTGTTTTTGGTGATAGTAGTCAATTGAATAAGCATGTGAAGTTTGCTTTTTGGGCAGCTGCTCCTAACTCTGTTTATGATTTATATTTATATTGATTGTACTAGTGGGAGAAACAGTTGCCTGTTGGTATCTAACCTAGAGACTTGAGCTTTCTGTTGTGTATTCCTTAGAGACTGTTGCAGCTGGTATTACTTTGAAGGAGAGTCTCCCCCTTATTAGTACTTTGCTTCATGTGTGTTGTGTTGTTGGAAAATTTAGCTGGGAAGCAACCTACTGCTGGCCTACTGCATATTGTGACAATCTGGCAAGCTGTAGTGAAAGATGACAACATCTCAGAAGTCATTAAAAAACTTATCTATTTATTTTCATCTGCTTAGAACTCCATTTCTCAATGCCTGCAACAGCCAGGGCTGGGCCAGTCTGAAACCAGGAGCTAGGAATTCCACTCAGGTCTCCATGTGGGTAACAAGGGCCAGAAGTGCTAGGAGCATCATCCATTGCCTCCCAGCCTGCGTCGACAGGAAGCTGGATCAGAAGTGGAGCAGCTAAGATTGGAGCTAGTACTCTGATATGGGACGCAGGTGTCTTAAGCAGCTTTACCTGCTGTACCACAACACCTCTCCCTAGAAGTCATTTTTTGAAGCCTTGAGCTCAAGGCTGCTCCTTTCAGTAAGCACTTTGACAATTTTTGAGTCTGTATTTGCATATAGGGGCTAGTAGTTTCAGAAGCTGTCCCCTGAGTTCTCAGCAAAGATTTCCAAGTTTCTGTGAAGGGTGAATGTTCAAAAATTAAAGAACAAGAATAGTTTTAATCATGTAGAGCTCTTTATGTTATGTAGAACATAAATAAACAACCAACTGCGGAGCCCCTGGTGTTGACATTGTTTCCTCTGGTATGCAGAGAGGAAGTGGATTTGGGGCTCCCTACAAAATAGAAGAGAAAATTTAGAATGTTTGTTGGAAAAGATACAGCCAAAAGAGAAAAAAACCCTACTTGTCTAATCTTTGGAGAGTGAGTTTTTGAGACAAGAGTAAAGAGAAGTTTAACATAGAATTCTTGAATTGTTCTTACACAGTTTATGTTAATTTGCAGTCTCCCTTCTATAACCTGACAGCTGTTGTGCCTAGGTGTGATGTTGCTGAATACATTTATTGAGAGCCTACTTTGTGGCAGACATTGTGCTAGACACTCATCCCTAATGTTTTTAATCATCACAAAGACTTTCCTTAATCAGTAAAAATGAGAATGAGGCCCAGGATAGTTCAGTAGTATTTCCTATATCAAATCACAGTTCTGTAGGCCAGTGCTGCCTGGCTCTGTTTCTCAGCTTTGATCTGGGCTCTCTTTTTACCCTCTTTGCTCCTTCCCCTCCTTTTTGGTCTCCATCCCCCTTCCTTTCACTCCCCTTTTCCATTCTCCTCAAGTTAACAGACCCCAGGAACATACTGGGAATTGACTTCCTCTTATACCTGCTCATCTTCAAGGAAATTTAGGCATCAGTGCAGTGAAATATCTGACCAAAATATATCTTTTTATCATGACCTTGTTTGATTAGAAAATAACAAATTAGATGCTGAACAGAAAGTTGTATGGGAAACTACTTTGATCCAGGTGGAAACCCCATGTCTATGAGACCTATTTGTAAGGCTTCTAAGGGAAGATTAAAATTATGCTAAGAAACTCAGAAATTAGATTTGGAAAGTTAGTATTCATTTTGGTGGGGCAAAGATGAGTTATTTTCCCATTATCATAGGGTTGTACATTATAAATTGAAATGTTAAACCTCTAATGTTGAGGAGGAGAACAAATACTTTTTCCTTTCTAGTTTAATCGTTTCAAGAAATTCAACACTTCAGTGTCCTTTTTTATACTCAAAAACAGTGGTTAAATTCTATCTCAAACTTTAGTTCTTTGTCTGAATAATAGCATTTGAAAAGAAACATAAAAGTAAGATATTTCAGTGAGTGAAGCTGGTGACTGGAAACCAAGAGTGATGGGATTTGAGTAGAATCTTACTTTGTGACCCTGCTCACTAATGCTTTGATCTTGTGTAAAACTACTGTTTTGCCTGAAGGGTCTTATGTATTTCTTTGGTTTAAGCTAGTATAAGGCTCTCATTGGGTTAAGGCTGATGATGTCTGAGTTTCTAGGAAGTATGGAATGATATATGAACTTTAAAGGCATTTCCTAATATTTCTTAAATTAATGAATATTTGGAGATTTTATTTACCTCTATTAAAAGAGGAATGCCCTTTCTGTCTTTCCAAAATCATGGTTAGCAGAGTCTCTGTATAAATGAAGTGAATTTTGCCTCTAGTATTCCCTAGTTTGGATTTATAGCTGGGTTCAAGCTCCAGCTTGAGTAATTTTGTGTAATGTAGGCAGAACTATTTAATGGTATAGGTACTGTTTTTCAACAGGAATCCTCTTTAGTGCAAGTTGTTATTTTAACAGAACCAATACAGTTCCTTTCACTCCCCCTAAAAAACCTTGGCATGTGATAAATGAATATTTCTAGATATTTAAGCTGAGTCTTTATTGTATTACTTGATCAGTGTTCCCACTTTGCTTTAGGCCACTCTGTGACTTTTACCAAATGTACAGTAGTATTCAGACCACAGCTGTGTACTCAGAGCACTTTGATTAAAGACCTTCAGGGCGAATGAGCATCTTCAGTACCCTTGTCTAAAAGAAAGTATTGACTGCTGTACTTTCATCCTTTATGAATTCTTTAAAAGCATCTATTATTTTTAATTTGCAGCAGCTCTTGCCAGGTAAAAAGTTTTGGGAAACAGATGAATCCAGCAAAGATGGACCAAAAGGAATATTCCTGGGTGATCAATGGCGAGACAGTGCCTGGGGAACATCAGGTAATCTAGATCTAGCATCTGTACTGTGATTTATGCCTGTCTTAGAGCTCCTTTCCTCAGCAGTTGGCAAGTCATGAATTTACATCAGTGACATGAGCATGTCAAGCAATGTCCTGTTTTGTAGTATAACTGCCATTAAGGAGCTTATATGATGTAATTTATTAAACATAATTCACACAAAAGCAAATCTTCAGTATTTTTCAAAGTGCTAGCCATAGAGGAATGGTCGAGTTGAATTGACCATGATATCAGCTATAACTTCTTGTTTTGTACTGCTGTCAGCACACTTGGGATTAGAAAGTCCAATCCATGCCTGCCATTTGAAGTTCATGTTTCTTTTTTTCCCATTGCCCTTGTGTACCGTGTGTGGGATGATCTGTCTGTAAATGTGCCAGATGAGGTCACTGGGCACAGACATTCTTCTGATAGACTATCCCTGAAGAAGGATGCACAGAAGTTGTAGAGGCAGACATACCTGACAGCAGAAGGAAGTGACAGACAGAAAGGAGACAGAAAACCCCAAACTTATATGCTGTGGTATAGCACAATGTAAGAATGAAACTCATGACAACAGCAAATCATCAGATCAAATTATGTTGTTCTTAAAAAGGGCAGTAAAATAATATTTTAGTAATATTTTCATACCAATAAATGTATTAAAAAGAAATTCTGCTACCTGAAAAAATTAAATATTAACTTATCCCCTTATTTAGGTAAATCAGCTACATGAACTGCTGTGTTCCTCTACTATCCTGGATAAAAGGGGAGCATGTTCCATTTCCTTAACGTATATACAATATCATATTTAGTGAAAGATAAAATAGCAGGTTTCGGCTCAACAACCATGGCAGGTTTCCTGATTCCGAGTCATTGATTTGCCCATGAGATATCACTCATGATTTGTTTAGCCTCTGGCTGCACTGTATCATGCTTGTGTATCTTTTTTGTAGATCATTCAGTTTCCCAGCCAATCATGGTGCAGAGAAGACCTGGTCAGAATTTCCATGTGAACAGTGAGGTCAATTCTGTACTGTCCCCACGATCGGAGAGTGGGGGACTAGGCGTTAGCATGGTGGAGTATGTATTGAGCTCATCCCCGGGCGATTCCTGTCTAAGAAAAGGAGGATTTGTAAGTTGGTTTGAGGAACTTGTTCCTATCTCTTTTTTTCCCCTAAAGCAAAACATGCCTGTTTAGTTTTCTTAGATGCTCAAAGCACTAATTATAGGGTATTTTAAAAGGACTTTTATTACAGAGTTTAGCAAATATTGTAGAAGATATGAACTAAATTTTTCAAAAATAAATCATGTTTTGGGGGGACACACTGATAACAATGAGGTAAGAACCAAATTCTAGATCTTAGTTCACTGGTCTACCAAAAGATACCATTTTTAGGTTAAAATAGCAACAATAACAACAACCCCCCCCCCCAAAAAAAAAAAAGGGTGGGGGAGAGGGAATTTTAAAAAATAAAGCTGAAGCTGAATCAGTCGGTAAGGAATTCCACATCTGAGAGTGGTGGTTTGTCAGTATCCCAGGAATCTGAAATGGACCCGATACGTGAGGTCATTCTTGTTTTACTGGCTAGGTTTAAATTACAGAATCATCTTTGACCCTCCGTGTACAGCTTGCTTTCTCACACCTGGCAGTCAGGAAATTGGAAGTCTTGTTAATTCTTTATCTGAAGGGTTTTTGTTTTTGTTTTTGTTTTTTTAAATCACACCACTGACTTCTCTGATCCTGAATGGGAGTCAAAGGATTCTGTCTGCAGCCGCTGCCTTTCTGAGTCTTAAGCAGTCTTCCACAGCATCTTTGGTTGACTTTCTCGAAACTGTTTCTTTATATCATCAGCTTTCTAGATGTAGAAGTCTTAAGATCGATTTCCATTTAAATCTTCTAATTTTTTTATTCTTTGTTTTATTGTATTCCATATCACAGCTGGGATGGCCATGAGATATGTCTTCCTTCTTTTCCTCCTTTCTCAGCTTTGTATGTTTTCAAAGCCTTTTCTCCATAAGGTCATTTTGTGCTAATACCATCTGTGATTGATCAGTTAAGAAACACTCTTTCCTCAAATCATTTTGCCTCTATAACTCTATCTTCTAGTTTTTGTTGCTTAATATTTTTATCTGTATATCTGTTACTTGGTATCAGAGATTCGGTTCTGTTTTACCTATTCCACTTACAACTTACTAGAGTAACAGTATTTGATTTTTGATGCAGTTTATACAAGTATCAAGTATGGTTTTTAGTACTAGCCATTCTTAAACTGACCTGATTGCTTCTGGGTTTTTTGAACCTGTAAAGACTTAGGTTGAGTTTAATGGCTTGTGGAACAGATAAAAAGTGGCTTCTTTTATTTGAACCTCCTCCAGGGACTGCTTGGGAAGAACAAGATCTACCCTTCTGAATGTGAAGAATAGAACCAGGGCAAATTATCATTTGCCTGTTGTCTCATGGGAAGAATGAGGTCACTTCTCTTTTGTTTACCCTATCCCCAGTTTACCTCTTTCTGTCCTTACTTTATAAGCAGAGGTTCCTCAGAGGAAGTACTGCCTTTTAAATACTGCCTATAAATTTCAGTTATTTACTAGAGCAGAAAAGTTAGTATTTTGTGATAATAAGGTACTGGTGTGATGAACTGGAATCTGTGTGGCTGTGGCTGTGAATTCCCTGCTATGTGTGAGACCAGTTGCAAGTTTTGTGCATTAACCAGAAGGCGTATGCCTAGATTACTGTGAAGCTTCTAGAAGGTAGAATAAATCATTGGAATTAGAAGAAAGATGGTGGGACTGAGTTATTAATATTTTTGCCAATATTTTCCTCTTTTATTTTTAAAAGTGTTATTTTTATTTGGTTGAGAGAGAAACAAAGAATGTGGGAAAGAAATCTCCCATTCTTTGGCTCACTTTCCAAGTGCCTGCAACAGCTAGGGCTGGATGGGGCTGAAGCTGGGAGCCTGGAACTCAATCTGGGTCTGACACATAGGCGGCAGGGTCCCATGTATATAAATCTCTGAGGATGTGAATCAGCATGAAGCTGGGATTAGGAGTGGTGCTTGGACAAGAACCCAGGCTCATGGGGGATATCAGTGTCTCAAGCAATATCTTAACAAAGCCAATTGCTTGTCCCATTTTCCTCTTTTTCAAAAATCATTTATTGGACATTTATTTTTATGACAAGCTGTGTATTTTTTATTTGATTTTTGTAAAGATTTAAGATACTGGTGACTTTTTTTTTAGCTCTTTTACAGTGTCATGACCAGAGCAGGATAAGACATCAGAATAGAGGAGGTCAGAAAATTAGATTCTGTAACAATCAGATAACTTAACAAACTTCTGAAGTATATACAAAGATAAATGAAAAGTTCTCCAAAGCTGTTTTCCAGCTTCTTCTCAGAAGGACAGTTGTGGGTAATAAAAGGTTGGCTTACATTTTGACTTGAGATACAACCATAGTGTGATAAGGAGAGCTGATCAGTGACATCAGGCCACTCACTCTGTTGGCATATACAGGCTCTTGGGTCACAGAGCCCCTAGAATCAAGGTACTGGTTAGCAGCAGCTTCAGCCTGCTGAGCTTATAGCTAACCTAGCTCTGTAGTGCTTGATGGTTAGGGTGACATCTGACCAAAGCTGTGGTTTAGGGAACATTATGGTTATGATATGTATGCATCTTTCTGAAAAAGATGAACTTTTAATTTTTTTTTAAATTATTCATTATTCATTCAATAATTAAGGTTCATTATTCAATGTGTTGAGTTCAGAGAAAAGGGGTGATCTGATATATCCTAGATACTTGCTATAAAGACTGTTTTTGCTAGGTTGTGGATAAGGATACTCAAATATTTTATATTTTATATATATATATTTATATATATTTTATCACCTCTAGTAAGCTGCATCATCTCTGCTAGCAATGATTGTAGACCTAAAGGAAGTATTAAGAGGCCGTTCCACCTCCTGACCGCTGATAATCCAGACTTTAACTTGTCAATTAAAAATGATTCAGAACTAAAGAAGTCTCATTTTACAGTGATTTTTCCAGGTTATAGCTTGAATGAAAATATTTTGTCTAGCTTCCCTGAGCCTTCCTCAGTTCATTTTCATTCTACCAGTGGTCTCTAGCAGTTTTTCCTTCTGAGATAAGAATATCTGCCTTTTTTTTTTTTTTTAAAGATTTTATTTATTTATTTGAGAGGTAGAGTTATAGACAGTGAGAGGGAGAGACAGAGAGAAGGGTCTTCCATCCACTGGTTCACTCCCCAAATGGCAGCAACAGCCGGAGCTGCGCCTATCTGAAGCCAGGAGCCAGGTGCTTCTTCCTGGTCTCCCATGTGGGTGCAGGAGTCCAAGCATTTGGGCCATCTTGTACTGCTTTCTGAGGCCATGGCAGAGAGCTGGATCGGATGTGGAGCAGCCAGGACTAGAACCGCCACCCGTATGGGTTGCCGGCGCCACAGGTGGAGGATTAACCTACTGCACCACAGTGCCGGCCCCAAGAGTACTTTCAAACTGCAAAGAATCTGAACAACCTTATTTTTATAGTACCCACTGCATGTATTTGGTAGTAGTCCATATGAACCCTAGCCTATGGGGTAGCCACATTCAGATAAGAGAAAAACAGAATGCCAGTCAAAATCTTCTCTTTTTATATAATTTTTTTTTAATTTTTATGAAGGCTTATTTATTTGAAAGTCAGACACACACACACGCACACACATGCACACATACACCGATAAAGAGAGACTCCATTGTTTCACTCACTACACGTCCTCAACAGCCAGGGTTGGGCCAGACAGAAGCCAGGAACCAGGAACTCCACCTGGGTCTCCATGTGGGTGGCCATAAGGATTTATTTGTATTTATTTGAAAGACAGTCACAGAGAGAGGTCTTCCATCTGCTGGTTCACTCCCCAGATGGCTGTAACAGCTGGAGCTGTGCTGATCCAAAGCCAGGAGCCAGAAGCTTCTTCTGGGTCTCCCATGTGGGTGCTGGGATGCACGGACTTAGGCTATTCTCCACTGTTTTCCCAGGCCATAGGAGAGCACTGGATGGCAAGTGGAGCAGCCAAGACTCAAACTGGCACCCATATGGGATGCTGGCACTGCAGGTAATGGCTTTACCACAGCGCCATCCCCTGTAACTGGAATTTGAACTGGGCACTATGATGTGAGATGTGGCATCAAGAACAGCAGCTTAATCTGTGCCGTATCACCTGACCTATATATTTTTAAAGGATTTATTTTTTTAGTTGAAAGGCAGAGTGATAGAGGAAGAGATAGAGATAGAGAGAATGAGAGATAGAGGAAGAATGAACCAAGGTTGGACCAAGTGAATGCTAGGAGTCCGGAATTTTATCTGGATCTCCAATATGGGTGGCAGGAACCCAAGTACTTGGGCCATCTAATGATTACCAGGTACATTAGCAGGAAGCTGGATTAGAAGCAGAGGCAAGACTTGATCCTAGGTGCTCTGGTATGGGATTTGGGTGTCCCAAGTGGTAGCTTAACATATGAGTGCTCATCATCTGCTCCATTTTATTTTTTTAAAAGGATTTATTTGTTTATTTGAAAGTCAGAGTTACACAGAGAGAGAAGGAGAGGCAGAGAGAGAGAAAGGTCTTCTATCCGCTGGTTCACTCCCCAATTGGCTGCAATGGCCGGAGCTGCACCGATCCGAAGCCAGGAACCAGGAGTTTCTCCTGGGTCTTTCACGTGGGGAGAGGGGCCCAAGCACTTGGGCCATCTTCTACTGCTTTCCTAGGCCATAGCAGAGAGGTAGATCAGAAGTGGAGGAGCTGGGACTCAAACTGGTACCTATATGCGATTCTGGCACTGCAGGCAGTGGCATTAGCTGCTACGGCCACAGCGCCGGCCCCTGCTTCATCTTCTTCCCTTCCTCCCTTTCTCTCCCTCTTTCTCTCTCTCTCTTTCTCTCTTTCTTTCTTTCTTTGACAGGCAGAGTTAGACAGTGATAGAGACAGAGAGAAAGGTCTTCTTTCCTTTGGTTCCCCCACCAAATGGCTGCTATGGCCGACGTGCAGTGCCGATCCGAAGCCAGGAGCCAGGTGCTTCCTCCTGGTCTCCCATGCAGGTGCAGGGCCCAAACACTTGGGCCATCCTCCACTGC